TATATATATTAATGCCAGTTGTATAATGTTTGCATTTTACAAGTGGCTAAATTTAAAATCTTTTCAATGGAACGACCACATGGTGGGAAACACATTTGAGTGCCATTTGGACATCTTTTTTTTTTCTTTTTTTTTACACTGACAGCGTATCCCTAGTCCCACTCTCACTGCAGGCAAATAATTAAGCATGTAGACATGGAACACTGGGGTTTTTAAATGCCCCACTTAGTTCATGAATGCAAAATGTTCCTCATGTGTTTGGAGAGTGTAAATCGAGGAATTGTAATTTGATCAAATAATCTCCTTGGACCGGAACATTGTTAATCTGTGGATGTAACCTTGCTTCTCTTGTATAGCTGAACAAGATATTCATTGCTGATTTTATAAAACAGCCCAGAGCACTGGAAGCTCAGAATTTAAAGTTATTTTCAGGCTCTTAATGAGACACCACAAAAGTAGTCTCTAATTGTGTAACAAACTCAACTTTGTTATAGAATAGTTTCAAACTTGCATTTGAAAAAGACAAACTTAAGTGATTAAGTTGAAATGATGATGAATTTTTCATGAGCAATAAATTATTTGTCATCACACTGTCCTGTGGCATAAAGGTAAGGAATGTGTGATTGCAATTGTTCAGACAGGTGTTTAATGCAAGTAAGATACCAACTATTGATAGTACTCCACATAACCTCACTTACAAATGTAGACTTCTTTCACTGCATCTGTGTTTCTTCACCATTTTGTAAGCTTTGGATATACCTGATCAGTCATTTAGATAATAGCAGAGGTCATGTGGCCATGAAAATCATGACTTGTGTAACATTAAACGTAATAGGTATATTATAATAAAATTAAATCAATTATCTCAAATAAAAAATAATTCATGAATAGATTTTTTTATTACCTCATTCCTTACTAATTTACTAACCAAATAAGTGTGAAGAAAAGAAAATTTAGCAATGTTTTAACCATTTAGTCAGACTCATTGATACAAATACATCTTCATTTATTTCACATACATATTTTTTAAACTTTTACTTTTGTAGATTTCACAATCTAAATGATTCAACAACAAAATGAAGAACTACCACAACAAAGTCCAAATTTCCTACAGRGAAAAATGTTGCAAATGTCACTTTTGTAAAATTGACACGTAGTTTGCCAACCAGCAAAGATACAGTTAAAGTAATAAAAAGACAAAAATAGGACAAAAAGGTGGTTTGTGTGGACACTTCAACCAATAGGCCGTCTTCATGATGATTCAAGTGTAATGGTAAATCCTGAACAGTGATGAAGGATCGATTTTTGCAAAATCAATAGTTTTTTTTTATAAATATTTTCCTGTATCTGTATTAGTAAATAATATATGATTAATATCATTTAGTTGACAATTAGGAACAGGGACAGAAAATCAACTATAAAAGCCCTTCCTAAATCAATGGAAACTTCAAGTTTGGACACTTCAACCAATAGGCCGTCTTCATGATGATTCAAGTGTAATGGTAAATCCTGAACAGTGTTGAAGGATCGATTTTTGCAAAATCAATAGTTTTTTTTTATAAATATTTTCCTGTATCTGTATTAGTAAATAATATATGATTAATATCATTTAGTTGACAATTAGGAACAGGGACAGAAAATCAACTATAAAAGCCCTTCCTAAATCAATGGAAACTTCAAGTTTGAATAACGTTCTTGCAGAACATTTGGGGTTACAATTTTGGCTAATGCATCCCATGAATATTGCTATGAATAGTTATCTTGAATGAATATGCACTTACATGTACATAATGAAGCATTTGGTAAACATAGTACTGAAATAAAGAAACCATGGTCTATTTCRTTGACTTGTTCAGTGAAGAGGCATGGCGCAGAACTAAACAAAGTAGGTTAATAGCTTAGATACAAATTTGTACTGTACATTGTTTAGCTGAGTCTATAGTCAACCCAAAACCAAGGGCTTCTTTTTGGGCATACAAATTTCAAGAGATATTACATGACAGTGTTTTTCTTCAGGTGTCCATGATGACAAAAATGTCGTTCCTCATCCGAGAATTAGTGAACTGGCATTCATGTAACAGTTTAATCTGTTTGTCACAGTTAAAACACTGAATCCAAGCATTATGCCAAAATCCAGTGACTTAAAGTACTTCCAATTTAGTTACGAGACCTTAAGGATTTTCAGGACCAATCCTTTTATCTTCTTTTCAAAAAAATACATTATTCTTTGTGCATTTTCACAATCCCCGTCTTGATCACGCTCTCTTKCATGTGTCTTTTTCACTTTATGTATATATTTATGTAAACTCACATCATCTTCATGTTAAAACGACGAGGACCAACTTGTCCCTCGGCTGAATCAACATTGGTGCCAWTGGACTTTGATCGAGGTACATACTCAACATCAATGTTGTTTTTATGTTTTCCTTTCCCTCTGCTCCAAACAAAAAGGAGCAGGAAGCAAAACAAGACCACTCCCAGGAAGGTGAAGCAGCCCATAGCTGTTGACACCAAAATAGTTTTAAGATCCAAACCTAGGCTCACGCCGGCTGTTCCATTGGCAGTGGTATTGCTGAGATCTGTGTACTGCTGGGTCCTGTTAGCATACAGCGATCCAAGACTTTTCACTGCCAATGACGCCATCAGAGTGTCATTTCCAGCTGTGTTAGAGGCAAGGCAAAGGTACACTCCACTGTCTTGCATCTCCGCTGACTTAATCTCTAGTGTGCCATTGTTGTGCACCATCAGTCTTCCATGGCTCCTGCTTGTCAGCACTCGTCGGCGTGGGGACAACCATGACACRCTTGGCCTTGGAGTCCCTTCAGCACTGCAGCGCAGCATTGCCGGCTGGCCTTCRTCCACAGTGTACGTGTGTGTCTTATTCTCACGGATTTTTGGCTTGGTGCACGTCACATAATAAGACAGTAGGGTCTCCTTAAATTCCTTAAAAGGTCGTCCACGTATTCCCTCAGGTGTGCTGCATTCCGGTTGCGAGTCTCCGAAGAAGATGGAKTGTTTTTTCTGTAGAATCCACATGAGACGACAGTCGCATACCAGTGGGTTGTTGTCAATCAGAAGAACTTCCAGAGCCTCGGGAGACTGGAACACACTCTTTTCCAACGTGTCCAGTCGGTTGTGAGAGACATTGAGGACTTTGAGACCCCGCAGACCTTGGAATGCATACGGCTCTACAGAAGTTAGTTGAGCTCCAACTAGATGCAACTCTTTCAGCCGAACAAGCTCCATGAGCATGCCCCCTTCAATGTGCCTGATGCGGTTGTAAGATAGGTTGAGATGTGTCAGGTAGGGCAGATGTTTAAGGGCTTGGTAAGGGAAAATGGATAGGTTGGTGTTGGTGATAAACAGTGTTGTAAGGTTTAGTCCATGTAGGGTATTAGCTGGCACGTGATCCAGTGAAGGCCAGTTATCAATTTCTAAATGCCGCAGCCGGAAAAGCTTTTTGAATGAGTACGGATGCAAAGTGCTAATGCTGAGGTAACGCAGGTGGAGTCTGACCAGGTTGTGCAAGTGGGAAAGGGCCTCTGTGGGTACAACTGTAAGGTTGCATCTTTCCAAAGTTAGTGTCTCCAAGCTTACAAGTCCACTAAATGCACGGTGAGAAATATAAACCAAATCGTTGTCACCAACTTCCAAAGACTTTAGATTATGCAAGTCTTGGAACATATAATCCAGAAGGATGACAATCTTGTTGTCACTTATATCTAGATGGGTAAGATTTGTTAGGGCTGTGAAGACATCCTGAGGGATAAGCTTTATACGATTACTCTTAAGACTGAGTGAGTGCATGTTAAACAGGAAGTTAAAAGCTCCAGGYTCAACATAGCTAATAAGGTTTCCACTGAGGTCAAGTTCCTCAAGCCCAGGAAAGGCAGCAAAGTCATCAGGGTTGATCATTGTCATCTTGTTTTTACTCAAGTCCAGAATCCTGGTCTCAGTTGGAATGCCATCTGGGATGCTGGGCATGCGCTTGCGGTGACAGACAACTGCCTTAGTCTGTGCTGAACACTCACAGCGTGAAGGACATCCCAAGGTAGAACCCACAAAGACAGCCACAAGTGCCAGTCCCAGGAATGGCTGCCAGCACGAGACGACTGTGTGCAGCATGACTTTGTTCATACAGTCCACCATTCTGTCACGGTTCTGAAAAAAAGAAKAAGAAAACAATGCTTAGTGCCTTATAATGAACCATTTGGTATCATTGTTTTCATAAAAAATAAAATAAATCATAAAAAATCAGTCATTATTTGAAAGCAAATGGTCAGTGGTTGTTAAATTAATATTTGACAACATACTGAAAGCTTGTGGCAAACAATGAYATCAAATTTGATAAAAAGTTACTTGTTCCTGCTTAAGTTCATTTTATTTTTCATTAGATTTTTTGCACAAGATCCTGGCAAACATATTGCCAGCAGACAGAGAAAGCAGATAAATATGTTTTGTCACCTAATACATTAGTTTATCGGGAATAGATAAAGCCAGTATGTGCAGTACTTTCAACCAAAGGTTGCTTATTCAAAACCAAGATACACATTTTTCCCCACATTCATTTAGGGCTATCTGTTAGGCAAAACCACAAAATATTTGAACTTTGGCAATAATAAATAAAATGTTCTGATTAGAAAAYAGTTACTCAGGAATAACAAGGACAGCTACTACAACACATTGCATCATTGGATGCTGTTATCAACTCTTTAGTGTTTTGATTGCATTTAAACAATAAATTAYATGGTAATATTAGACATTTGTAAAACTGGTGACCTGACCAGAGTGTACCCCACCTCTCAGCTGTTGATTGCCAAGAGAAAAGCACAAACCCCACAACTCTGATCAACTAAACAGGTGAAGAAAATCAATGAGTGAGTAGATGAGTGAGGCTTGGAATTAAAAGCACTTAGTTGCTGCTGTAAATTGTCTTATTAAGTGTTAAAATGGTCTCTCTTTTTATTAAGCTATTTTTAGTTTATAGTTGTCTTTGCAACTCTTTAAAAAAGTTATGTCACTCTTCATTTAAATTGTTATTTCTTGGAATAAGAAGCTGTGGCTTTATGTCCAAAAGAACACTTTACCACGCTTTTTCAAAAACAACACTTTCAATTACTTTGAAATGTATCATGTTAATGTTAATTTCCCTCTGGGATCAATAAAGTATTTTTGAATTGAACTGAATTAATATTTAAGGCAATAATTAATAACTGGCATGTATTCCAATCAAACTGAAAACAACTATTAATTCAGACTCAAGTACAAGGGTTCCTTTGTTCTGTTATTATGAACATGTTATTTAGGAATGAAGGTCTGACATTTATATTTATTCAATCATTGATTTTTTTTCTTATTTGTGGAGAAATAAAACCTCCTCCGTTCAGTTTTTAAGCCTGTCATGCCCTTTGCATTCATTACCACAAGTAAAAACAACAGAAGTTATAACAAGTACAACAATATTAAATCCAGCATGTACAGACTGGAGGTCAGGTTTTGCTCGGGACCTTTTTGRTCCAGCAGACAGAAACTCGACAGAAATCCTGCAGTTGATTTGGTTTTAATTGGAGCCAACTGAGTCAAGCAGTGATGGGTCAGATTGTTTATCAGTGTTTCTCTCCCTGTCTAGCCAAGTGGGCACCCACTGGCCGTGTTTGATTTCAAATTATTTACAGACTAATTATCCCCACAACTCCAAATATGAAGCAAATATAATTATGTAAAATGATAACTTGAATGACTCATTGATAAATCTCACTCTTGTTGGTGTAATAGAAGAGAGCCCTGAGATGAGTGTAGTATTATGTATTTTTATGTTGTGTGATATTGTATTGTGGCTTGTAACGGTATGAAAGTTGTTCATTTATGATTATTCAAGCAACACACATATAAAAGTTGGGTTAATATGTTATTTACTCACATTAGTTGTCAGTATTTGATGCAGTGGATGATGCATTTTGTTTCCCCCTATTGTCTCAAGTCAGAATCCTGACAAACTGTTTGTTGTTAACATTTTGTGAAGACATTTATCTGGGTCTGCACACCTTGAAAGCTTGCAAGGCACTTAGTTCACCCAAGTAGTTTGTGGATATTGATAACAAACTGGCCTTAGTGCAATTAACCAATAAAAAACCACTTGGGAAACTGGCCCGACTCAATCTCCTCCAGAAAGTCTTTCTCTGTGTTTGATGTGGCCCCAAGGCAGTGATCATTTTCCATAATGCAATTCCTTCTCACCTTGAAAAGCCTCTGTGTTTGTGGTGGACAGAGGAAGACAGTTGCTTCCTTTACCCAGCAAACATAAACACCTCCTAAAAATGAAAGTTAAGCCCTTGCATTTTGATCATTTGACTTGGATAGCAGATCTAAATGAAGAATTGTGTTACAAGTCATGGAAAGGAGAAAAAAATAATTCTAAAATCTGATGCAAAAGCTGAAGAGGAATGGGGTTGTATGAGGAAAAGGGTAATGATTAAAGCGACATTATGTCTAATTATGCAGCATGTGAATGTACTACATACTGAGCGCAGCAGTGGCAAGATTTTAACAACTGAAGCATCAGACATGGCTGTCCTTAAGACAGCAGGTCCAGCACTTTCACAGCATAATTAGTTATAAAATGACAACTACGAAATAAAAAACACATAAAAAAATAAAAAAACTGAAGCAAAAAATGCATGCAGTTTTTCTCAAATCAAATAAAGCAAAGATAAAACTATGCATTTTCTTTGACAACACTATGAATTTAATGCTCTCTATGTTTTTGACACTAATTAAATACGGCTGAATATCACACATTTAAAGCAAATGGAGTTTTCTACTCTTTGGTCCAGTTCGTTCTGATGCATTTCAGYAACAAGWAAAAAWTTTAGTTTAGYGAAATCTTAAAGGGGCTATATCATGTAAAATCARCTTTTTTTGAGTTTTRTATCATGTTATAATGTTATCCCCTCATCATAACCATACGGAGTGTTACTTTGACTCATTCATGCATGTTTGAGAAATCTTGTGCTGTTCTGAGGCAGCCAGGCAGGGGAACAAAACAACCGGTTGGGACTAGAACCGCCTTTTGGGAGCAGCTCCTCCTCTGGGCTGTGTCTCAATGCTGAGCTTCCTCATCACAGAGCACATGACTCCTGCAGGCTCTCGGCAGCAACAAAGCAAACAACTGGTGAAACTGAAAGTAAAACAGAAACTATCTGCTGAGTTCCCAATACTACTCCTGAGTGCAACCCTTTTCAAATTCAAAATGCCTGGCTTTGAGGAAATGTATTTTCAGATGCCAAGTAAACTACACTGAGTTTCCATATCACAGCGCACCCACCCTCCCCCCACGTGTTGAAATGGGTGGAACAGAAGCGGAAGGAGGTTCTTAAAGAGACAGAAGCCAATTTCAAGGTGTTTATAAACAGAAATGATGAGAAGAAGAGTTTATTTTCTATTTAAACATGAACAGCATTTTAATAACAACTGAAGGTGACATAGATACTTTATCATGGTATAGAACTTAAATATATGTTTGAAACAAAGTTACYATTTTATAGAAAAAACATGTCAAGTAAAGGAATCAACAAAATGAACAAAATATTTTTCATCCAGTCCATCCTATGTTCTGTTCACACAGAAATGCTTTTGTTACAAAATGATCAATCTCATCTTTCTGAAAACAAGACAAAACAGCAGGGGAACCCAAACGTATCTTTAGTTTTTACAATTATGAAACAATTAAACTCTCTAATTCATGTGATTTAATAATCATTTGTTAATCCTTTTAGTTATGATCATATGGTCATTCAGTAAACTACAGCAGAGCAAACTATTAAATACTCACTGACCATATTAGACATTTGGTTTTTTTTAATCAGAAATGTTGGTAACTGGGAGCAATATTTCACACTGGATCAAACTTCATCCTAAGGTGCTCCTTTAAAACAACATTTAATTTCCTTACAGAAAGAAAGAGGGCAGGTATGTTATTGTTATGTGCAGAAATTCCAACCCTAAAAACTGAGCTACAGACCAAATATTTTGTTAGTTACGAGTTACATTATAGAAGTAAAATGACACTACATTTTAGGAATACTGTGTAGATATAAATAAAACCACTACTTGGCTAAAACATATGAAACCAACTTACTAAATAAATACCAGAAAAAGCTTCACCTGCACTTGTTCTTATGACGACTAGAAGATACAAATATTTGAATCATTATTAAGAAGAAAAAAAAGTCATTTGGGAGGGGGACTGTCCTAAATAACAGTACCTAAGAGTTACCGCAAAAGGAAAGTTATTAAATTATCGTTTTGTTTTATTAGAGCAAGGAGTTTATAATAATGCTATCCCGAAGGAACAATGTTATTAACATGCAGGTCAGCTCAGAGTCTGTGCGTGCAATTATCCCACCTTTTTAAAAGACCATCTGCAAGTGATCAAATGAGATCCTAATGACTGGGAAGAGACAGCGATGCTCTTTGTCTTATCCATTATTGAGAAGATCCATGTAAAGGGCAGCACAGCTTTAAGGTGAACTTGCCAGCTTGCAAAACGACACTGTACTTCTTTAATGAAGCACGCTTTGTTGAGCCTCTCATGCAACTGAACACCTTCGCAGGATGCGACCTGGATACAATTAATCAACTCTGTCACCTCCAATTTTGGAAACACAAATAATTAAAAGGCACAAAGCAGAAATATTTCCTAATAAATAAATGCAATGCAGCAATACCATTCATGCAGATTCATAATGTYTGCAGATGGCACTGGAAATAGTAATAAAAAAAATCCTGCCATGCATTCTGTACGAAACTGTATTCTCTTTAGCAGAGTGTATAATTCATGAACACGCTAACATTAAAAAGCAACATGATCTTAGTCACATGGTTTTGGGACCTAGGGCCTTTAACAGAGAAGATCAACAGCCTCAGGGCAATAATAGAAATCCATGCACAAATTACCCTTCTGCTTGGCTTACAGAGCGATGTTAAAGCTCAGATAATCTGTGTTAATTAGAGATAAACTTGGTTGAATGAGTCAGTTGCTCTTTTTTTGAGTCTGATAACGCTTGGTTTGGGACTGAGTCAAAACTGCAGCATCAGACAGACAATCAGATTCTAATCTATCCCACAAGGAAAGCCTTTCAGAGACAAGAATTAATCATATA